CCATGCTCGTGTTGATAGTTACACAGCGCAGACTGTTAGCACCATGTGATGTTGTGTTGGAAGGGGCTTCACTTTCAGCTCGTGTTATGGAGGAAATACACTCTGAGACAGGTTGGACCGTTCCCTCTGCTTTGAAGCAGCCTTGGAGGCATAGGGAGGTGCTGCTTAGGAAGGGAATCCCACAATCACATTTTACTCCACTTGTAGTTAATGCAGCATCTACCCCAAGAGATGAAGAAATTGTGATTGCTGTACGATCAATGTGCGTGAAAAAGGATCTTGAAAATGGTGTTAATGAATTTCACACGTTCAATTGGTCGCGTGCGACTACTGTAGCACCACCTCTTGATGCCGCAAACGTGTCAGGATCGGAGCTGTTAGGGGAGGGAGAAAAGTCAACAGTTATGCCATTGACGTGGAATGTTGAGCCATGTATAATAGAGACAATGTGTTATGATCATCAGCCATGCGAATTCTTGTGGAACGCTGCAATAAACCCAGCTACCTTGCAGTCTCATTTGAAACTATTCGTCAGCGATTCGAAGGAAAAGGTCAGGCGCACACGAACGGAGCCCACAGATATGGTCAAGAGCACGTTTGTTACCCAGAATTGCGACGAAATTACTGATAGCACTGCCCAAGGAATGCACTCAACAAATTCTTTATCATCTGAAAAAAGAAACCTTATTCGGTATAAGGTATCTCAACTGCCTATACCGGTTATGACTTTTCAATTTAACTTCTCTCAGTGCATTGTAGAAGAGGATTCTGCTGTTCCTTGTTTCCATCGCATCGGGGAAGTGCCACTTTGCATTATTTATGAAGCTCACCCACCACTACTGTCACCTTCTATCAAAGATCACAGTCAAGGTAAACAGAGAAATTTCGATGAACCGAGTTATTCTAACCACACACAAGACAAATCAAATCAAAAGCCCACTTCTGTTGGAACCCTTGGACGATATCTTCTTATCGAATAGATTACATGATTTGTGGCGTTATGTTTTTCTTTTTTTCGCTACGAGGAGAGTACAATATGCGTATTATTGAGATGTAATATGTAGGCCAATTTGCTGCTATATAGTAATGTAACTAACACAACTGAGGCATGATGTAAACGAGCATGGAGTGTATCCTGATCTGTATTCCCACTCAGATCCTATCCATTCTTTTCCTTTTATTGTGTTTCCTTATTTAAATATTTATTATTTTTTCCTAGTATCGCTTTTTAAAATTTTTGATTCCAAACGAAGCCATGTATACTAGACGAGCGGGGCGTACTTTGGAGTTATTTAAATTCTGAGGACTTGTAAAAGTGGTATGTGAGGGTGATAAAGGACTTGAGCGACTTCAGTCTATCCTTCTTTGATGCGATTAAATGTAGTCTCATTTTATTATCGTGACAGCTTGTGTCTTACGCTTTTTCGCCCAACCTGCTCCCTTTCCCTCATTATCTTCCACTTCGGAGATGTAGTTCACTGGAAGAGCCAATCTGCATTTCTACTGTACGCATGTAAATCCTTTGACGTGTAGAATTTATGAAAACTAAATGCTCAATATATGAGAGTACATAGATTAATGGATATGAATTGTTGTGCACAGGTCAAGAATTCCTGTTATGCTTAATTTTAATAGGGAAAATTTAAGGGAACTATTCCTCATTTTTTTATTGGTATAAAATAGATACACAAGGGAACGCAATAGTGATATAGGCAAGTATCCTACAGGTTTATTTCTTTCTCTATATTTTTCTTTGTACTATCCTAAATTGGAAGGATCTAGAATACAATATCATATTTTCTATTCTTGAGAAAGTGATAATCTCAGGGCAAACAACTGCACAATACGCAAGTACAATCAAAACATTTTTTGAAATTTGGAAGCTTGAACAAGAGCACTTTCATTCCTGCAGGACTTTTTCTTATACTAATAGCGTAGTTGCACCCGTACTCTTCTCATGAGTTCAAATAGGAGTTCGACAACCAATCGGAATAATCTAGATGGCAGCGCTTTCTCGGTCGATGATGTTAGACATGAAAATATCATGAGGGCCACTTCCTCAGTGAATATGTCATTTGCAGCGTCTGATAACGTACCCCAAAGTTTCAAGCAAAGCCTTAACTGGAAAGACGAATTGTACGCGGCCGAAACATTCCGTGATGGTATTTACGCCATTTCACGTGTGGTGCCTTCCTGGGTTCCAGCGGTTGGTCTTCTTTCAGCACTTGGTATTTACTATGCAACATTTCGGGTCCGCCTCTTTATCTCACAATGGCGACTTGAGGAGCGCCGGCGAGCGGAGCGGAGGTACGAACTTTTGGACACCCTACGAGGAGTGCCTATGGGCCCGGTTGGTACCGTGGAACCCCTCGGAGATGATGATGTAGATGAGGAAGACGAGGAGGAAGATGATGAAACAGCTGTTTCCATGCGCGACATCGAGGAATTTCGAAGCAGTTTGGGCATTCGTCTGCCACGTGACGAGGATCTCCTCAGTATTGTAGAGCGCATGCTGATGGTAGACCCGATACCTGATGGGTGGGTGTTATATCGTACTGCCGCTGGCATTATTCGCTTTATGAACCTCAATACACAAGAGCTTTTCTTTTTTCATCCAGGCAAGCGCAAGGAGAAGTCATATATTGATGCTGAACTCAAGAAGCGAAATCGTCAAGCAATGGAGAGTAAGTATAACTTTTACTCTGAGGATGAGGGGTTTAACTTATTTCCCATATCCAATCGGGGTCCTCAGTCTACCACTATGGCATCTGGACCATTACCTATTGATTTTGGTGACGATGGCAACCCAGGTGAAGAGGATGATACTCAAACGAACGCCTTCAAGCGCTTGTTTCACTACTTTTTGGAACGTGAACAGAAGCGAATCGAGCAGGATGTTGTCCGCTCCCGATGCTCTATGGCGCACCGCACCAAGGAGGCGGTGGGGGTTGGGATCCCGGGAGGGGTCTCTGGACCATCATTATCATCTGCAACAGTACTATCAGATGTTTCTGGTGGAGCTTCAGTAAGCGGTAGTGGTGGAAATCACAATGCAACTAGTTCTAAGTCTGGTGTAGGAGTAGGGGGTGCCGCTGGGGGCGCAGAGGGTGGACAATCGTCTCAGCGATCACCCGTCAGCATGCTTCCTCCCATGACGTATCGTGTTGTCTTATCAAGTGCGATTCACGGGAGTCGTGGTGGGAATGCTAAATGATTGATTCCATACTGTTGATCTTTTTTTTCTTTTCACTCTGCACACACGTGCGTGACCACCAGCTGAGGAGGTTTATGGGGTTTTCAAATAGCTGCGCTTTTATTGTTGCTTTTCCACAGTTACACACAAGAAGTTAGGTACCAGAAGGAACAAGCAAAGAATTAAGTTGCAGCTTCTGTGTGAGATTTTCTTCTTGCCTTGCTTCACAATTCTATGTGGTCATGGTTCAACTCTGAGGGGGAGTATGGTGAGGGAGCGAAACAACGAATTTGTTTCTGTTTTTTAACTTAGTTTTTTTTTAAACGGATTTCGCAAAGATTGTTAATATTATTTTTATTTTCAAAATTATGATGCTAGTTTATGTATTTATTTGCATTTCATGAATGCTGAGAATCTGTGGTAGCGATAATTTAAATCTATTTTTTTCCCCTCGCTTCTTCTAATAATAGACTATCAGTTAT